TGTGAAAAATGCAAACAACATCACTTTCACTGACAAAATCGTCGCTGTGATATATTTTACTGTTTTGAAACACTAATACAGGCATACCCCGCTTTACATACACTCACTTTTAGTACATTCGCAAGTACAAACATACCCGCGACTGTACGTGAAGGTGCTTTGCGAGTACAGACATTCCTGCGCCACTTCTGTCCGCGAGTGAACAGGAAATGGAAGGTTCTATTCTTGCCTGGAGCAGCTCAGTTCAGTGTCTTTGGGGCAAGAACTTTTCACACCTTCTGCCATGGCACAGGTTAATCATCTCAAATTTATAATGCCTACTCCTAGCTGAACATATATATTTTTTTTCTGCCCCTACATTGTTCATATTCTGCAAACTGCTGCCATCCAGTGAAAGGGTTTACCCTGCCATTTTCTATAACTATGACTTAGCAGCTTAGATGCATTAGCCACAATTCTGAGGATTCAAAGTTAAACCATAAATGCTTAAAGTGCTGAAGAGGTGTTTCTAAACAAAGTGTGGGAATAAGCTGCTAACAAATACAAACTGGCACTGTATTGACAGAAAATGGTCCAGTGGGCAGGTTTATTTTACTTTTCCTCTTAGTCTAAGGTTGTCAGATGAGTAAAACATTAAAGATAAATGGTACAATCTGGAATGAGATTTTTTTTTACAGTTTCTTTTAACTAAATAAAAGCCCACTGGAAATCACTAAATAAATCACTGGAAATAAAATCACTGGAAATATGCAGTTGCAGTATCAGTTATGCATGTAAATTACTATTGCAATGCAGTACATGCATTGTGAAGTGAAAAAAAGGTATTGCTTCACTTTAAGTACATTTTCGTTTTACATACATACTCTGGTTCTAATGTGTACTTAAAAGTGGGGTATGTCTGTATTTGTGTTCGGCGAAGTCTCCCCAGTATAACAGTACCCCCATGTACAGGCAGGTCCCTCAAATTGCAATCAATAAAATTACTTAAATATGTAAAAATATTCCATAGATATGAACCTAGAATTTAAATATATATACATATTTGTATATTTGAAGTCTACGTGTATATTTATTTATGAAATTTGTTATGTAATTATGTATATAGATAAATATATATGTATTTTTTTTTTGTATTATATTTATTTATTTATATATACATAGATATATATAATTTCATTCTAAGTGTATTTTGATATAAATATATATATATATACATATATATATATATATATATATAAATATTCAAATACAGTTAGAATAAAACTACACATTTATATACAGGGAGTGCAGAATTATTAGGCAAATGAGTATTTTGACCACATCATCCTCTTTATGCATGTTGTCTTACTCCAAGCTGTATAGGCTCGAAAGCCTACTACCAATTAAGCATATTAGGTGATGTACATCTCTGTAATGAGAAGGGGTGTGGTCTAATGACATCAACACTCTATATCAGGTGTGCATAATTATTAGGCAACTTCCTTTCCTTTGGCAAAATGGGTCAAAAGAAGGACTTGACAGGCTCAAAAAAGTCAAAAATAGTGAGATATCTTGCAGAGGGATGCAGCACTCTTAAAATTGCAAAGCTTCTGAAGCGTGATCATCGAACAATCAAGCATTTCATTCAAATATCGAAGGTCAGCAAATTACTTAGCGTGTACGGAAAAACCAGCGCCCGAAAAGCAACTGCGCGAACTGAAAAGTCCAGCGTGCAGCTGCCGCGATACCCACTTACCCACCAGATTTTGGCATATTTCAAACTGCAGCATCACCAGGTACCCAGCACAAGGTGTGCAATACTCAGAGACATGGCCAAGGTAAGAAAGGCTGAAAGACGACCACCACTGAACAAGACACACAGGCTGAAACGTCAAGACTGGGCCAAGAAATATCTCAAGACTGATTTTTCTAAGGTTTTATGGACTGATGAAATGAGAGTGAGTCTTGATAGGCCAGATGGATGGGCCCGTGGCTGGATTGGTAAAGGGCAGAGAGCTCCAGTCCGACTCAGACGCCAGCAAGGTGGAGGTGGAGTACTGGTTTGGGCTGGCGACATCATCAAGGCTAAGGAAAACGTGGGGGCGCCTTTTTGGGTTTGAGGGATGGAGTCCAGAAGCTCAACTCCCCGATCCTACTGCCAGTTCCCTGGAGGGCACGCTTCTTCAAGCAGTGTGGTACAGGAAGAAGTCACAAAATAATACAGGTGCGGACGTGGCTTTCGGTATGGCGTGACTGAGATCTGAAACCGCGTTTGGTCACGGACGTTGGGGCTACGTGGTTAGAATGCCAGATGAAGTTTTGGGGCGTGCACTGCCTCTGAACAGTGTCTGGGAGGAGAAACGGCGGGGTTTGCTGCTGCACGCAATGTTGATGGTGAACAGATCAAAGCACTGACAGAATCCATGGATGGCAGGCTTTTGAGTGTCCTTGCAAAGAAAGGTGGCTATATTGGTCACTGATTTGTTTTTTGTTTTGTTTTTGAATGTCAGAAATGTATATTTGTGAATGTTGAGATGTTATATTGGTTTCACTAGTAATAATAAATAATTGAAATGGGTATATATTTGTTTTTTGTTAAGTTGCCTAATAATTATGCACAGTAATAGTCACCTACTTTTTTACACAGATATCCCAACACATAGCTATAATAAAAACAGGCTAAAGAAACTACTTCAAGAAATATTCAGCTTTTTGATATTGGCCGGAGTTTTGGGTTCATTGAGAACATGGTTGTTGTTCAATAATAAAATTAATCCTCAAAAATACAACTTGCCTAATAATTCTGCACTCCCTGTATATTCTAATGATTTTTACATTTTTTATTTACTTATTTATATTTTATAAATAATATTTATATACAATATATATAGTTATTATATATATTATATATACACATGTGTGTAATTTAATTCTAAGTGTATTTTTATATTATATTATTTATTTATTTATAAAATATTTTACCAGGAAATATACATTGAGATTTTTCTCATTTTCAAGTATGTCCTGGGTCCACAAAACATTGCATTGATACATTATGGTACAATAAAATACAAAAACAATATTAATACACAATATATACAAAATTTAACATAGAATAGGTAGGAAATATATAATCAATCATGACACATGCATTCTGCTTTGAGGTATGTAGAGAGGGATCTCTTAAAGGACTTTAGGCTTGGGGAAGATTTTAAAGTGTGCGGAAGGTCGTTCCACAATTGCGGCGCTCTGTAGGAGAAGGAGGATCCGGCTGCTTTCTTTTTGTATTGAGGTAGACTAAATAAAGTGCTGGTACTGGATCGGTAGTTATAGGAGGTGGGAACAGCCGAGGAGAGCATTTTGCTCAGGTAGGGTGGGAGTTTCCCAGAAAAGCTCTTAAACACAAGGCTGGAAAGATGAAGGGTGCGTCTGGATTCTAGCGATAGCCAGTTTAGTTCTTTTAGCATGTCACAATGGTGGGTCCTGTAATTACATTGTAGCACAAATCGGCAGAACGAGTTATACAATGTATTGTGTTTATTAATGTGGGATTGCGGTGCAGGTGCATATACAACATCCCCATAATCAATGACTGGTATCAGCATTTGCTGTACAATCTTTTCCTTTACTGTAGGGTTTAGGCAGGATTTGTTTCTGTACAGGGCACCTAGTTTTGGATAAAGTTTAGATGCAAGTTTTTCTATGTGGAGACCAAAAGATAGATTGGGGTCTAACAACCTACCCAAGTATTTTAAAGAGTGGACAGTGGTCAGTGTGCTTTTGATGGATAGGTGGGAATTGTATAATTTGTGTAATTACTGTTCCAAAGATCATTGTGACAATTTTGTCAGTGTTTAGGAAGAGTGCGTTTTTTGTGATCCACTTTTCAACCTCTGTAAACTGGTCTTGGAGCACATCCTCTAGCAGTGGTAAATCGGATTTGCTCGCATAGATTACTGTGTCGTCTGCGTACATGTGTACATTTGAGGATTTGCAGACATTAGGCAGATCATTTATAAATAATGTAAATTGTAGGGGGCTGAGAATGGAACCTTGGGGAACACCACACGTCACTGGGAGAGGGAGGGAGTCGCTATCACTTTCTTCTGTTTATGCAGCCCTAGACACATCTCCCCTCGCTGTGACAAACAGCCTACATGTGACTAACAGAAGCCTACATGAAAAAAATGGTTTAATTTTTAATAACATGTTAACTTACTATAACAGTTTTTAATTCCTGCTCTGTAAATGGAATTTATACGACACACAGGAGCAGGGGCGAACTGACCACTCGGGCAGCCAGTCAGGGGGCCCGGCAGCACAGTCATGCTTCTGCTGTGGAGATCAGAGATTTCCTCAGGCAGAAGAAAGTTATGCATAGAAAGTCCACTGAAAGGTTGCGGGGGGCCCATAATGACATCACACCCCCTGCTTCCCTCTCACACGGAGCACACTTACAGTGTGTATGAATGGTAAGAAGAGGATCCTGGCCTGCCAAGTCTTGCTTGAGTAAGATGGAGGGAGGAAAAACATCAGATTGTACAGGTAAGCAGACTAGGGGTGAAAGGAGCATATGTAGGATGAAGGGGTGAGACAGGGCAGGAGCACACAGGGAATTTTGTTAGAGACATGTGGGGTAGATGGGGGGATACACAAATGAATAGGATGGGTTAGAAGGAAGACAACTATAGGGGACAGCTAAGACAAGTGGGGTACTGGAAAAGTGAGTGTGAAGTGAAGCAGAGAAACAGTGGGAGGTGAGGGGGACAGAAGCTGATCAGTTGGGTGACAAGTAGTGTTAGAGAAAATAGGTGACAGATTACAGGGAATAATTGGAAGACACACATACTGATTGGTGAATGTTGAGAGAGATAAAGTCAGAAAGAGGGCAGTCAAAAAACAAACAAAAAACCACTTGCAGAATATAAATATAACTCATTACACACATGCTGACACTGATTTAAAATGCACTCCTCATTCACACATACTGACAGATTTAAAATACAAATCTCATCTACACACCCTGACACAGATTTTAGATACACCCCTCATTCACACATACACATACTGACAGATGTCTGATACACCATTTATTCACACATACTTACAAGGTGCACACATACAAATACACTCCCGCATTCACATGTACACCGCTCAAACATTCACAGACTTTCCACAATAATACATACACCAACACTCCCCTGTGTTCATACACACAAGTCCTCCACAAAAATACACCCTTGCATTAACATTCAACACGACTATACCCTTACATTCACACATTAATATTCCATACATATTCACTCCTACTTTTACAAACATCTACTCTACTCACTCATAGAACAATACATTTACATATTTACACTACATGCAAGTAAACGTCTGCATCTTATACTCTGTGGTACTACACAAATTGTACTGTAGTATTTACACACATCAACATTACATACACATACACTCCTAATTTGACACATAGAATGATAACAGTGGCGGAACTACCATGGCCGCAGGGGTCAAAGCTGCGACTGAGCCCATCACTCCAGGGGGCCCAGCTGCCCTGTCTGCTGATGCATCTTTCGTAGTGGCGTTACTGCAAGGGTCACAACTGTCACTACTGCGACTGGGCTGTGGAGTTCTGCCTGTTAAGTGGTGCCCTTGCCAGCCTTGGGGCCCCCATTATTGCTATTTTATACATCGACGATTCAGCAATATACCAAAGAATTATGAAGTTACTGACAGTTGGGGGGAAAGCGCAGTACCGGTAATGCTGACAGTATGTCCTGCTCAGTCTGTGCCCATTCCTTCTCCTGCTTGGTCCACCCTGCCTAGTCTTCTGCTTCGTACGCCCGTGCCCAGTCCTTCTCCTGTTTGGTTCCTATCATGCCCTTCTCCTCATAGGTCCATGCAGCCTTTCTCCTGTTTGGTCTCCCCTGCCCATTTTTCTGGAGCGGAAGCCACGCACTAACACATGGCAACTCATTTCTATCTCCTCACCCTCACTCTGTATATGACATAGAGGGAGAGGCTTGCAGACAACTGCTGGTGCTGCTTTCTGGCAGGGAAAATGTAAAAATATGTTTTTATAGACTCATAATCTGTTGGCGCTATAAAAATGGCAATAATGATAATAATAATAGTGTTCCTGTGTGTGTGTGTGTCTGTGTAAGTCTGTGCCTGAATATGTAGGCTTGTCTGTGCCTGTTTATGTATTCCTGTCTATTGATGGCTGTGTCAGTGTCTATATCTGCATATGTGTGTCCCTGTCATTTAATGCCAGTGTGTGTGTATCCTCTCTGTGTGCCTGCACATGCATGCGTCTCTGTATGGATGTGTCTGTGTGTAATGTCTGATTTGGTGTATGCTTGTCTGTGCTTGTTTGTGTATGCCTATCTGTTAATGGCTGTGTCTGTGTATTTAACTGCATCTGTGTGTACCTGTCAATGCCTGTGTATTCAGTTGGTGTGCCTGTGTTTGCTTGTCTATGCCCCTGTGTTCCTGTTTGTGTATATGTCTGCCACTGTGTGTTCCTACCTGGGTGATTGTGCACCTGTATCTGTTTTGTAATTATAATGTATTATTATTACACACACACCATCCCCACACAATCACACTCCGCTAAATGCAACACACTCACATTCAGCCGGTCCCACACATACACACAATCACTCTCAACAAACTCCACGCATACAGTCAGGTCCATAAATATTGGGACATTGACACAATTCTAATTTTTTGGCTCTATACACCACCACAATGGATTTGAAATGAACAAGATGTGCTATAACTGCAGACTTTCAGCCTTAATTTGAGGGTATTTACTAATCCTACAACACATAGGACTCTCAATCGAATTCACCACTTTCTTGCAAGCGGCGTATCACACCACACAAGGAACACTCCTGCTGCCTAACATCACCCCACGAAGGTTCCCCAACACAAATGGCACACGACAGGGCTGCCCACTGCTGCCCCTCATCTATGCCCTTTTCCTAGAACCCCTGCTGCAGGCGGTGCGCTCCAGCCGAGAGACAGAGGGCATCATGATCCGGGGGGAGACATTTAAGGTCTCTGCATATGCCCACGATGCCTTGTTTATATTGACCAACCCGGAAGGATCGATTGGCTCTCTACTTACCCTCATTCAAGCCTACTTGGAGATCTCTGGGTATCAAATCAATCTAGTAAAATCTGAATTGCTACCAGTACAAATCGACGACCTTTGCTTAGACCGGATCAAAAAAGTTCCCTCTACGGATCTGCCAGGCGACCATTTCTTACCTGGGGATCCAACTACCAGCGGATATTACTACGCTTTACGAGAGAAATTACGCCCCGTTGATGCTAAAAGCACACAACGACCTACACCGCTGGAGGACTCATGGAATTTAGTGGCTGGGACGCATTGCCTCCATCAAAATGAACCTCCTCCCCAGATTCCTCTACCTCTTGCAAACCCTCCCTATACCAGTCCATAAGCTGGACCTGAAGCCCTTACAATCGGCAATAGACGCATTTATCTGGAACGGACACAAACCCACGGTCCTTAGAAGCACACTATATGTCCCCCCAAAATTTTGTGGGCTGGGCCTACCAAATTTCGCGCACTACCATTCCGCAGCACATCTAGCCCAAATCCAGCAATGGCACACTCAACTGCACATAAAGAGATGGGTGGATATAGAACACCTGATTTTCAGCTGGGATCACCCATTCCTATACATGTGGGTCCCCAAACCACATAGGCGTTTAGATTCGCTAAACTTTAAAATTAATAAATGATAGCCAAAGAGAGCAAAACCAACCAAAGCATTTTTTTTAGGTGCGTAAATTCTAAAGAAAAAAATAAAAATAAAAGTGTAGGTACACTTAAAACTGGGATGGTAGTGTTAGTTAATGAAGACCAGGATTAGGCAGAAATTTTAAATAACTATTTCTCCTCCGTATATATTAAGGAAGAACCAATGGCAATAGATGTGCAAATAATTGCTGCTAAAAACTTGCAGAAAAATTGTAATTGGCTTACTCAAGACAAGATACTGCAGCAACTAAAGAAAGTTAATATAAAAAAGATCCAGGGCCTGACAGTATTCATCCACGAGTATTTAAGGAACTAAGTGTAGAAATAAGTACAGGAAGGTAGATGTGGTTCCTATATTCAAAAATGGTTCAAAAATCATTGCCTGGAAATTATAGACCTGTGAGCTTAACTTCTGTGACTGGGAAATATTTGAAAGGTTATTAAGGGATAATATTCAAGAATTCCTTGAGAAGAACGTGGTTATCAGCAAAAATCTGCATGGTTTTATGAAGCACAGGTCATGTCAAACTAACTTGATTGCATTCTACGAAGAAGTAAGTAGAAGAATAGATCAGTGTGTTGCAGTGGATGTGATCTACTTGGATTTTGCCATGGCATTTGATACGGTTCCTCACAATAGGTTAGTCTTCCAACTAAAAGAAATTGGTCTAGATGATTATTCTTGTTCTTGGGTAGAACATTGGCTAATCGATAGAGTACAACGAGTTGTCATTAATGGTAAATTTTCAGGCTGAACTAAAGTGGTAAGTGGTGTCCTTCAGGATTCTGTTTTGGGGCCGCTTCTATTTAATATATTTATAAATTATCTTGAAATAGGCATTGAAAGCCATGCTTCAGTGTTTGCGGATGACACAAAACTTTGTAAAGTTATAAAATGTGAGCAGGATATTGCTTTGCTGCAGAGGGATTTGGATAGATTGTGTGACTGGGCACTAAAATGGCAGATGAAATTTAATGTAGAGAAATGCAAAGTTATGCACTTTGGGGTCAAGAACTTACACCCTAAATGGTAGTGAATTAGGAAAAACAACAGACAAGAAGGACTTGGGAATTGTTATAGACAACAAACTATGCAACAATGTGCAATGTCAATCAGAAGTGGCTAAGGCCAGTAAAGTATTGTCATACATGAAAAAGGGCATTAATGATCGGGATAAGAATATCATTTTGCCTCTTTGTAAATCACTGGTAAGACCACATCTTGAAAATGCAGTGCAATTTTAGGCACCTGTTCTAAAGAAGGATATTATGGCACTAGAAAAAGTGCAGAGGCGGGCTACAGAATTAATAAAAGGAATGGAACATTTCAGCTATAAAGAAAGGTTAACAAATTTAAACCTCTTTAGTTTAGAAAAACGTTGCCATATGGAGGGGATATGATAACATTATACAAATATATCTGGGGCCAATACAAACAATTGTGTGGAAATCTATTTCCAAACCAGACTTTACATCGGATACGAGGTCATGCATTTAGACTGGAAGAAAGAAGATTTCATCTAAGGCAAAGAAAAGTTTTTTTTTACTGTAAGAACAATAAGGACGTGGAATTCTCCGTCTGAAGAAGTGGTTTTATCAGAGTCCGTACAGATGTTCAAACAGCAACTAGATGCATACTTGCAAAAACAGAATATTCAAGGATGTCATTTTTCAATGTAGGGTAAAAGCTTCTTGATCCAAGGATTAATCTGACTGCTGGGGTCCAGAAGGAATTTCTTTTCCTAGTTTGTTGCAAAATTGGAAGTGCTTCAAACTGGTGTTGTTTTGCCTTCTTTTGGATCAACAGCAAAAAACAAATGTGAGAAAGGCTGAACTTGATGGACGCAAGTCTCTTTTCGGCTATGTAACTATGTAACTATTGTCATGGCAAAAAATGGTTTATCGCATGAGTTCAATAATTACTAGCTGTAGTATACAGGATCTCATTTTCTGTACAGAAACATATGGAAAATTTGAAAAATGTTGCTGCTCACTTGATGCTAATAAGCTTTATCTTATGCAATAAATCAATAGATTATTGCCCAGATGTCAAAGAGTTAACATTAGTGAGGTCCCAAACGGTTTGCCGAACGGTTCGCCACGGACGGCGAACATATGCGCTGTTCGGTCCGCCCCCTATGTAATCATTGAGTAAACTTTGACCCTGTACCTCACAGTCAGCAGACACATTCCAGCCAATCAGCAGCAGACCCTCCCTCCCAGTCCCTCCCACCTCCTGGACAGCATCCATTTTACATTCATTGTGAAGCTGCATTCTTAGTGAGCTGTCCAGGAGGTGGGAGGGTCTGGAGGGATGGTCTGCTGCTGATTGGCTGGAATGTGTCTGCTGACTGTGAGGTACAGGGTCAAAGTTTACTCAATGATGACGAATAGGGGGTGGACCGAACAGCGCATATGTTCGCCATCCGTGGCGAACCGT